ATTGCACATACGCCACATATGCCCGCTCATAACTATCCTATTTACCATCCATAATGAGCAATATGTGCGGCGCATAGTTTTGCGTGCTGTGTAAATATTTTAAAAACAGCTTTAGTCCTAAATATGCCCTAGGGATGCTGCCAGCGACTAAAACTATTTGTGTTTATGGCTGAATATACAAATGTATCTGCGCATATGTATAAATATCTATGTATGCATATACATTGTATGTTTAGTCAATTTAAAATGTGCACAAATTAAGCCAAATCAATTTTGGGGCAACAAATTGTACATTTCGTTGCGATTTGGTTTGTTTGTGGGCCACGTCACGCATAGCCCCCGGAGTGATATTTACCTTATACCCAAAGCACAGTGTGACCAGTCACGTAGCACAAATGTATCGAGTGGGTTGTAAATGGCCAGAAAACTACTGACCATCTGCCAGACCGACGCCAGCTAACCAACAGACCGACAAACTCAGCTACATACTGTGGCAGCTTGTGGTGGTAAGTTGGTAAGTGTGACAGCACTGGGTGGGGGGGGGAAAGGGGGTGCAACGTAAAATTTGACAACTTGTGAAATGCTCTGACAGCCACAGAGCGCACAAAACAAAGTTTTTTGGCTATTCTTTGCGTATTTCTATGCCAAAAATGTAATATGGCTAATTACACAGCATTGATATGGGCCATTGTACTATGGATAATTACACTAGAAACTGTTGACAAATATTGATGACTGCTCTCTGAATTGATGGATTGATTTTACAATATTTATAAGCCATTTTTTTTTAATTTCGAATTTCGCACAGCTATGATTTTATTATTGCTTGTGCAGTGCATACCTTTAAAGGTTAAATATAAGTATGAAGAGTCTGCAAAATAATTTGAAAATTTTGCACACAAAACCAGCTTGAAGAAATTGCGGGGCAAGGAGAAAAAAGCTTTGGGTTTTTTCAGAAACGTACGAATATCATAATTGCAGGCCTTTAAACACACTTGTATTAAATGCTTAAGCTTGTGTGAAAACAGCTGTTAAATTGAATTAGATTCTAATGCTCCATAGATATGACATTTATATTCAAATTAAATTTGAAATCTATTTCACATTTGTAGCATTGTCCCAGATCTCATATTGTTGCTACCACTTTCAGGCTAATGGCTTTCTCTTTGGTGCCCATTGTGTTAAATGTTGCCTGGACTTTTGGGCGTGCATGTGTGTGTCTGTATTTGCCTGATTGTGTGTGTGTGTGTGTGTGTGTGAAGTGCAAGTTTCTGTCGTCGTCTTCATTGTTGCTGTCCTCCGTCGTCGTGACAAAAGTTTCTCTTCTATGTGCCTGCTGGCGGCATGTGTTCAAGAGTTAAGTTGTTTCGAGTGTGTGGGTATTTTTGGGTGGCTTGCAATCCGCTATTCTCTATGTATAAATGTGCTGACTGTTGGAATTTAAAGCTGCCACATGGTGGCAAGCTGCTTTTTGACTTTTTGCACAGAGCCCAGCAAGCTGATTACTTTGGCATTTGTTTTTGGAGCATGAACCGTCGGACAGTGTGGGGCCAGACTAAGCCTGAAAAAGCCATTCAAGTCGATTTGCCAAGAATGTGTGTTGCCAATACAGCTACAGTGTTTTATTTATTGCCTGGCTGCGATGTCATAAAAATCATAAAAAGCATCCATTATTGGGGAAACCCCCTGTAATAACAAGAGCAGCAGCAGCGACAAAAGCAACAACAACAACAACAACGACAACAATGACAACAAGCAGCGGCAATGGCTACATCAGACATCATGGACACATTAGCCACGAGTTCTTGGCAGTGACAGTGAGACAGTGACAATGACAACGCAAACTGCCTTGTCATAACAACAACAACAACAACAACAACAATAAAGACAGGGGTAGGAACAACAACAACAACTGCAATAATAATTAAGCGATATCAAATTGAAAAAAAATTAACTTTTTCTCGCTCAACCTGTCATTTAGAGGCCACCGGCTTGGTTGGGGGAGGGGAAATATACACTAACGATGATTTGGCGAAATGCGTTGTGCGTTATAATAGATTCTAGATAACTAAGCAATATGTATATACATTCATGTGCCGAAATAAATCGTTGCGTTAAGCGCTGGCAAAGCTAATTAAATAAAAAAAAATTGCTGTCACGCCATGGACGTATTTTCTACAGGGGGTCCTGTCATCGACTGCATAACTGAGTAAGCTTTGAACATCGCTGACAGTTCCAATCAAATCGCCTTTAATTCTCCAATAAAACACAGTTTACCCATAAAACATCTAGCTTGGAAGGCGATGGGAACTTTTTGCCATTGACATGCGAATGGAGTGTGCAGGCTTTGGTTTCTTTTCTTGACTTTCATTCAGTTTGCTTTTTTTTTTTTTGCTTTTATTTTGTCATCGTCTGGCATAGAATCATAAAAATAATGACATTATAATAGAGCGCACAAATGGGCACTTTATTTATTTTTTATGACTATTGACGTTACATTTATTTATTGTATTAACAGCATAATTAATTACTCTACAGAAATGGGACACTTTGCTGCGTTCAGCTATAAAAACAATTACTCAGCATTATTTTGGTATTAAATATGCTCATGTGTTATTGTCAAAAAAAGAGTCTATATATGGAAGCTTAATAAAACTCGCTTTATATGAGTATGCTGGGCTCTAGCAGTTAGTTAATTACATAATTTAATAATTTATCCTTTTTAAAGTGAGCTAAGAATTAATTGTTTTCTCGCGCGAATCCCGATTAAACTATGCGGCATAACTGTCTGCCCAACTGTCTGTAGGCTTTAACATTCTACTTGCTAAATAGTTTATACTAGATAGAAGAGAAGACTCCGAGCAGCATGGTCTGTAATACATGTTGTCGTAATAACAGAGGGTTCGAAACGGTTCATGCAAGGCATTGTTAGTTTAACAAAGTTGAAGCAATAAAGGTGTATAATTACGTGTTAGTTTAGTAGGGTCAGATAAGTTTAGTTGGCAGGTCAACTGAGAGTCGATTTCAGCCGTAATTAACTTATGAATAAACATTTTGGTTTAATGTTCATAGTTCTATTAATTAAGGAAGGAAGATTGATCATCAATAGTCTACGGGAGTACGAGGATCCCCAGTTTAGGGCACAAAAGGCAAACAACCGATTTAATTCTGTCTTATCAATGGTTTATATTTGACGTGAGTCCAGCAGCATAACATTTAATTAATTTCACTCAAACTTTGACTTCACTTTTCAATCTTAATACATTTGCTTTGTTTATTTTGGCCTATTGACCTCTAGTAGAACTTGCTAGACCACAACTAGGCCTTATCTATGTACGGGTGTCCATCGCCGAAGAGAGAGCTCTTCATAAGCGTTGTATACAGCCGTATAAACCAACTCAAGGCGTATACCCTTATCAACTTGCGTCAGTGCACTTTTGTAACTTTGCTTATAAATTTCATTCGAGCCATTTGTTGACACACAGACTTCCTTAAGCACACACAGCCGCACACACAGGCACAGACACAGATACAGACACAGACACATTAGAGTCTCGCGAAAAGTTTGTGTTGATTGTGAGCGCTGCGCAGTTTCTTATTGCTATCGGTTATCGCATTGGTAAGAGTACGAAATCGCATTTGTGCTCTTGACTTGAATGTGCAAATAGAATTAAAACGCAAATTTAGTAACTCAGTGCCGACTGACTGGTGGGGTTTTTTTTTCTTCAATTCTTGCTAATAGAAGGGGGGAACTTCACAATGTTGGCCGTCATAACTTTGCTTGATGACAAATATATTCATTTCATGCTTGTTCAAACCAACAAATCGCGTGACGCGCTGACAGCGCAACTTGTTATTATTGTTGTTGCTGCTGTTGCTGTTGCCATTGCCATTGCCTCTTGCTACCGGCAACAACAATGACAGCTAGACGAGTGGTAAGTGTAAAATTCAACTATTGTCTTCATTTTTCTTGCAAATCATGCAACGCAATCTAAACCGTTGACACATCGGCACACATTGCCGCCATGTAGCAGCTGCTGCCACTTGACACTGTCACTCAAGTTCAAGGTTCAGGCACGGTAAAGGTTATATGCTTGGCATATTGTTGTTGTTGTTGCTGACTCTGGTAACAAGTCTGTGCTTTGTCTCGCTGCGCGGCATTCTGTAAAAAATTACAATAATTGTTATTTACGCATATTTGAACACGAAATGTGTCAATTGGCAACCAACGAGACAACATCATGCTGTCAGCAGGCCACGCCGCGTATGCGTAATATGTAATAAGCTCGCTCGGTGTGCTCATATGTGCATGCGGCATGTGACAAACCTTGTCGTGCTTTAATAACTTGATTTCAAATGATTTGAAAATCTTGGTATTTTGAGTATTTGAGCATATAACATTGCATATGTAATCTTATCAAGCCGAATACCTGTGAAATTGAAGACATATCACCTGGTCTACCAGCTTTTCGATAGTTGGTTGTGTTAGTTTCCTTAGATTTATTAACCGTTTAATGGCAAATATGTTTAAATATTACAAATATTTTTAACAAAAAAAGTTGGAATAGTTGGCGCAATATTATGCAAAATAATTTCAATAAACTTATACCATTTCCTATTTAGCCTAAGTAAAAAGATTATTAAATATTTCAAATACCAAATTTGTTTCCTTTTATTTTTTATTTTTAGTAAGAGCATCAAAAGTTCGAGCTGGTTTTGGACTCGTTGATTGCCTCAGCCCCATCCAAAGTGTTCGTTAGCACACAATTTGTGTGTTCTGTGCTCAACACTGATGTGTTTCATTAAAACAATTTGCGTTGAATAAAATTAGCTGAATTTAAAAGAGATGTCGCATGGCCAACGAATTTTTCCATATAAATAGCAAATAGATTTCCGCTCTTTGAGCGACAGTTGCGCGTCGAACATTGAAGCCGAGAAATCGCTGCGGCCACCAATTGAAACAAATTGAAATATCATATTTTCAACATTTGTATTTAAATATGCATACAATATACACGCCGCTGGCGTCGCAGTTGCTGCTGCTGCTGCTGCTGTTGATGTTGTCGCTGGGCACGCACTTGACTGAGGCAGCGGCGTCGGCGGCTGCGGCTGTCATCGGTGTCGGCGACGACGCAGCTGTTGACAAGGAAGTGGCGCCAGTTGGCGTTGTAAAAACGGATTTGCTGTCATTGGAGCAGGAAATTGGCAGCAATCCGGCGTCGGAGCGAGCAGCTCGTCATGCGCGCTCATTCCTGTTCGGCGTGGGCGGAGCCGGCCCAGCCTGGATCGGTGGCGTACCACCAGTTGGCTACGGCTACAGCTGGGGCTATCCCAGCTATGGCTACTACAGCTCGCCATACTACAGCTACGGTGGCTATGGTGACTACTATCCGAGCGTCTTTGGCTTCAAGAAAATAATCATCGGCTGAGGCAGAGCTCAAAGTGGACCAGCTCGCCAGCCCCCCTAGGTCACAGCACGAGTTCAATGTGAGATTATAAATAATGTGCAATGTGCTGACACTTGCTTGTTGTTGTTTTAAATTAATTTGCCGGACATAAAAAGTTGAGAAAAAATGCGAAAGAAAAGCGGGACAAAAAAATCAAGAAATTGCACAATTTATATTCATTTTTGTTGTTGTTGGCGGTTTGCTTTGGTTAGGGCACAGATTTTGCATAAATCATTTCACAGCCACCAAAACGAAATGCGTAACATAATTTTTAACCCTTGATAAATTTTTATGACAAGCATTTTCGTTATTTTCCTGGCCCTGTAGTTGCTGTTGTTCGTGTTCGTGTTCGTGCTCGTGTTGCTGCTGCTTTCTGTTTGTGTTTGCACCACAGTGAAATGCAAATAAAGCGGATCAAAAGTTTGCTGTTAAAAGAAGATTAATTGCAATTTGGTGGCAGGCTCACGACCCCCAGCTCCTTACCCCTTCCCAGCCTACACAATTTGCCATGCCACCATTCGCTGCGGCGGTCAGAGTTGGTAATTAAATATTTTTAAGCTGTTAATGGTTTCCATTTGCGAGCTGTTGTTTTCAGTAGTTGTTTGAGCTATTTATTAAAATATATTTATTTATATATATATTTTTTTTTTAATTTGGTTTTTTTGCAAATTGGCAATCGGTTGCAGGTAACAAGAACTAGCCGAAAACTTGTCGAGCATTCGAAATAGTTTTCATTTCAATTGGACTCTCAAATTGGTTCATTGTCGATTTTGTTTCTATTATTTTCGAGTGCCTTTTGTTTTTACATTTGTATGGCCATTTTGTGCCTAAATTATCACATTTTTCGTTTCGTGCTCTATTTAATTATGAAAATACCTTTAGAATAGAAGCTTGAACAGAAAATATAAATATTTATGGCTATTAAATAAGGATTTTATTCGTTTTGAATTTCTATTGAATTCTAACAATTTCTATACCCTTATAGAGAGTGGCATAATTTTGTCATGAAATGTGTAACTCATAGAAGGAGACATCTTCGACCCCATAAAATATATATATTCTAGATAAGCATCAACAGACGAGTTGATAAAACCATCTCCATCTGTCTGTTTCAATCCGATCAAGCCTCTCCATGTTGCAGGTAGTATATAAGTCGGAATCGGCTGGATCGGACCACTATATCATGCAGTGTAGGTTCCATCGTTTCAAGTGTAGCTTCTTGTATGTATGTATTTATAAGATGCACTATGCTCCCTACGTGCATGCAAAATCTTATCAACATCGGACCACTATATCGTATAGCTGCCATAGGAACAATCGATTGAAAAGTTGATTTTAAAATGGAAACCTTTTTTACACAAAGATAACTTGACCAAAGTTGGAATTATCTTTATCACATAGCTGCTATAGGAAAGAACGGTGGATTAGTAGGATCTTATAAGGCAAACTATTTTCTTTTGAAAGGTATTTCAATTAGGTTTGAGCTGCACTTTTCTCATATGTCTGCAAAACGGTAATGTCTACAAGGGCATTCAAACTTCGGCATGCTAAAGATATACTTACCTCACGTTATGTAGTACTTAGTTTGGGATTGTGCATTTCACTCTTCAACCTGTCAAGCTGCAAACAGACACGTACAATTAATTGTAATTATCAGTCAAGTTTTTCATAAAATTTAAAATAAAACTTTTAAAACTTACAGCCCTAATTAATAGTTTTTCCGCCCTGCACTTTTAATTAAAGACAACAAACATTTTAACTGCTTTAATTATTATTTTAAAAGTGTCCCCACCACCCACCTGCCCCAGCTCATATTCGGATATTTCGTAATTGCTGGCGGTGAGATAAGTTCAACGTATCCCCCTTCAGCCGGGTCGTTGTTTTCCGGTTGGGCGGATCGGCCTTACATATAGATACTTACCACGCCGAGTGAATGCCGGCAATGTCACTCTTGTTGTTCATAATTGAAATGAGGTCAACACCGGCGAACCTCATTAAAAATTGATTTTTTTAATTTTCATTTGATTTAATTAAGTTATTTGTTGGTCAATTAACCTTTTTTTTTTATTTTTTTCTGCGGTCTGATATTTCATTGTAACAGTCTACAAACATTTTTTATTCCCTTGAATGTTGTTTGTGGACTTGCGTTTTATTTGTTTGTTCTGCATTATGTATTGTTATTGTACTTACATATTACTGTTAATATTTTTGTTTTTATCATTGTTATTCCTGTATGTGGAAAAACAATTTAATGACGAGTGGCAATTAAGCGGGGGCGGTGTGCTGACATTTTATTAATTAAAAATAGTTTTCAATTATAGATAATACGCTCAACATGCATGTAATTCTATTATGTAACGTCGATTTAAGAGTTGCACTAATATGTCCAGCCACAACAACAATTAGTTCCCATCCTGCCACCAGTTCAAGTGCCATCCATCCATCCATCCATCCACCTGCTCTAACCTCAGCTACTTCAGAGATTTAGCTCCTGAGCATGGTTTATTATGGGGCGGGTCCTCTAGTGCAGTTACAATTTTTTGAAAATCCGATCAACAATGCTCACGGCTAGTAAGAGAAAGAGGCCAAGCAGATTTCCCACTCACAAAGCATTTTCCGAAGCACAGCATTAATCGGAGATTACAATGCGATTGGAGGTAACGCCTGGAGGACCCAGCCAGGCTTGGCAAAACATCATCTAAGCTAAACTGTTTTGTCATACGAATTTATGTTTTGTTATTTAATTAAATAATAAATACCTTTATTAAGAACAGTTTTTTGTTTTTAAATTAACTTAACCAATTTCTTATCACACTGCCATATCACTATAAATAAAGGTCAAAGGTTAATTAAGCGACTAAATGTAATATCTAAAATTCATAGCACCAAACTTTTCACGAGCAAGGGCGGGTAATGCTCGTAAGTCAAATGCAAAGCTCCCATGAAAAGAGCGAAAACAAATGTTGTCTTTCAACCTATCCTAATCAAACTTTACACTTAAAAGCTTTTCAATAATCCTAAAACATGGTGTACGTTGTATCAAAATCAAACTACTATATCATAAAACTACCATGGGTACCTGTATGAAAAACTCTGCAATTACAAGTTTGTCGTATAATATGACGACTGTATTTAGCGTAATTGCATGAATTAACGGACTAAGAGCACTTACTAAAATAGCATTTAGAGAAGAGAGTGGACATTTTGCGAACGTGGGAGATAATTTATTCCACCACTGTTGATACATTTTTGGCGCTAACGCTTTTGATTCCGTTATGTGCGTAGAGAGCTAGCTGCAGCTGCACCAGAGAGTGAGTGCATTGGGAATGGCATGAGCGGGAGAAAATTTAAATGCTCACACTTTATGCGATTGGGCGTAACACTTTTGATCCCGTTAGCCTAACTCAGCTGAAAGCTCTTTCGCAAGAAGCGAGCATTGTTGCTGGCGTGTGCCGCAATAGTTGTTTGCTCTTAGTTGTTATTGTGAATATAAGTGCAAACGCCTTCTTATTATATGCGCGAGATTATTTAGTGTGCACGCGTCTGTCCTGTTGATCGGTTGTATCCTTTGCGCGTTTTATTTTTCTCCTAACAAGATTGTATCAAGAAAATGATACTTAACGCAATGAGTTCGCGGTATGTGTGTGTAAAAAGTGTAATAAGTCTTTCAGCAGTTCGCCTCAAAGGTATATTTAAGAATCAATAAATTACGCGGCGTTTGGATTTTTGGTTTGAGCTTTTTTACTTAAAAGAAATTGGCGCGCATATTCCACATTAACGTAGCGAAAGAGAGAGAAGGAAGGAGAGAATAAAAGAGTGTTTTGAAGCTCTTGCCCAACAGGTAAATAATGCTTTTTTAGACATTTATATTTTTTATAGACAAATTTTATTAACTTGAATGAAAGTATTTTAACTATGTCATGATGTTTGTAACGCGTATAGAAAAGCATTTCTGAACCCAAAAATTGTATTTATATTGTCAAATGTAAATAAACCAAAATGGGCGGCTTAAAGGAACAGTTGGGGGAAAATGGAGTCTCAAATAACTTCCCAACAATGGCTGTATAGCTCTTTCTTTATTCTTGTTTCATTTAAAAAGAGCACTAGCAATGCTTATAGACATACCTACATACTATACATATACGAGCATATATAAGTATATTTTTCTGGCCAAATGTTGTCCTTGCCGCAGAGGCCAACTGAAATGAAGTGTCATTGTGATAGAGCCGCGGCAATGCAGCTGTGCAGCAATGCACTGCAGCAGCAGTCGAGTCACAGGACTCCGCAGTATTCCGAACAGGACCCAGGCGACACATTTGCACGCACTGCTGGCCATTGCGACTGCGGCAGTCAGCGCTGCTCACGTACTCAGCATTGTGACAAATGGATTTTCGCCCGAAATCCCCAGGATTTCTTCAAGTGTAATTGCGCACGCTAAAAGCGAATACGAATTGCGAATTGCGTATTGCGAATACCGACCGGTTGCGGCTGCCTGCAACTGGCCGCATCTCCAAAAACGAAAAGTATTCGAAAGGAGCATTAAATTTCATGTGCTTGCGGTTCGCTAGCGTTTATTGCACACACTAGATAATTTGTAGCTCTAACGCAGTCGCAGTCGCTTGCTTATCCAGGTGCGTGCGCTCGCCCAGCTTCGCAGCAATAGACTCAGCCGACCAAGAAAATCGGCCTGTAGGCGCACCAGCTTCAACGAACGCAGTTAGTACTAGTTCCAAGAGCTCTAGCCGGGGCCGCTCAAGCTGCAATTGATGACAATTGATGTTTCGTATCTTATGTCTGCAGCTCGGCGAATAGTCGCAGAGCGGTGCATATCAACTTAAGAAGGGAAACCACATTCAGGAGATAAACGTGTGCCATGTACAAGGAAATGCTCACGGGAAAGGTCAGCAGTACGCAAAAGCAGACGAAATCAAACGGCATGTGTGAGTTGTTCAAAGACAAAGATTTCTTAAGACAAATAAACTAGAAGT